CACTTGCTTGTTCCGAACTTCTTCAATGGTACTCATTTTTGCTTTGAATTTATTGATGGGAATTGGCAGTGTAGTAATTCTGAGGAGGAGGGGCTCGACACCAGGTGTATATAAAGGAGAAAGAAAGGATGGAGAAGAGAGTGTGCAAACCAGGGAGAGAGAGAAGCCACTGGCTTCCTCTTTTTGGGGAAATTCAGTGCGGTCTTGTTTGTGTCAGCGAATGCGTCACACCACGATTCCTCCGTTTGCGCATTCACTCACTCGATACGGTCTTGTTTGCCTCGGCAAATGCGTCACTGTAAATCACATAAAGACACCGACGGTAAAAGATGGATCTTTGGCCGGCAGGGTTTCAACTTTCAACATCAAAGGGTCACTCTCGTCACCTGCACTTATTACATAATTTAATATAATTTAAATTATAAATAATATTTTATAAAAAAATATCTAAATAATAATAAAAATTTATATATTATAATGTAAAATATATATTAAAAGTATAATTTATTTTATAAATTTATTAAAATATTTTTAATAAAATAATATAAATTAAATTATATTTTTAATATATAATTCACCTTAAAAAATATTTTTTAATTATAATAATAAAAATAAACTTAATTAGAATTGAGACGACACTAAATTTAAATACTTGAATTTAAGTAGTTAAAATTTAAAAATTTTATTTTCACTAATAATTTAAAAATATTTTTCCTTCTCTCAAAAAATTTCATGTTCCAAAAGAAAAAAAATAGAATTTAGTCGAGTATACAGGCTATAACTCACCATGGCTCCGGTAGTTATTGAATTCAAAATAGTTGGGGCTTTTTAGTATAAATCGCGGGTGAGCATGGGGCTTTTGTCTTTTATAATATTCTTATTTCTTAACTCAACTCTTCATCCATTTAACTAACATATTATATAATTTAAAATATAACCTTTTATTTCAACAAAAAGAACAATGATAGTGAATCTTGGTATGTAACTCGTATGACCAATATATTCACACCACTCATGTTCAAACCTCTTGTTTTCCATCCTTCCCCTAATTCCCTTAGTTAAAAAAAAAAGAAAAAAAAAGAATGACAATAATAGTGAGTAATTTTAAGTTGGTTAGCATTTATATTTATTTTATATATCTAGACTCTATTTGATTTAGCTTTTTTTTTAAACAAATTTACAAAGAACCGGATTTGAACTGTTGCTTGAGAGAAGGAAAATGCACTTAAACGTGATTTGGCGTTACTGAACCAAAAACTCAAGTGCGATTTAGCTTTTTTGAATAGTCTACATAATAATGATTAATATTTGATGTTATTTACATAAATAATGATAGGAGGTTGAAAATTTTAGATGAAAATTTAAAATTAATGATATAGCATAAATTATATTATTAAATTAATTAATATATATAATATCATATATTTCAAAAATATAAAAAGAATCAATTAATAAATAATATTATAAAATTTATATTTTAATATTTTAAATAATGTAATTTATATCACATTATTAATTTTAAATTTTAATCCTAAATTTAGTTCACATTTATCATTATTCTATTTATAATTCAAACATTATTAGTTTTGAAGTATTCCATCAGATACTGCAAATGACTATAGGCTATTTTTTCTTTTCTTTTCTTCATTTCCTT